AGTTTATCATATTATATTATATCATATTGGCATATTTTATCCATTATAAATGTCATGTTTAAATAGGCCACATCTGTTTTTTTGTGCTCACCAAGGCATTTATATGATAAAAATTAGAGTAAAAAAAGTTATATTTTTACAAATATTATTACAATTTCAAATTACTTTTTTCTATTTTAATATATTTTAAAATGTAATTTATGCCTGTGATTTAAAGCTGAGTTTTCAGCATCATTACTTCAGTCTTAAGTGATCCTTTAGAAATCATTCTAATTTGCTGTTTATGAAACATTTATTATTAATGTCAAAACAGTTGTGCTGCTTAATATGTTTGTGGAAACCATAATACATATTTTTCAGAATTCTTTTATTAATAGAAAGGTAATCAAAAGAACAACATTTATTTTTATTAAAAATTATTTTCTTTTGATCCATTTAATAAGTTCTTGCTGAATAAAAGTTTTAACCAACCAACCTTTTGAAGTCCAAAAGGGACTTTACCTAAAAAATGTACCTAATTTGACATGAAACTAACCTGCAAATCTCTCTTCAAGTTTCTTGGGGGAATTCTTAGGGAACTGCAACTGGACACATATATGTAGGCTAAATGTAGAAGACCAATCTTCGTTGAAAAAAAAAAACATTAGAACTAAAAATTTACTTTATGTAGGTTCAAAGATGACAGAAACCATTTTTAAGACTGTTTTAGAACATCTACCTGCCAAAAAAACTGGATGAGAGAATATTACAAAAATAAAACGACACAAATATTACAAAATGTAACATTAAAAAGTGTAAAATTTTTATATAGATATTGGTTTACGCGATGAATCCCGCCTCTTGTTTTCGATCGCATCCTCGAATCGGTCTCTTTTGACTTTTTAGGAAGCAATCAGCTTAGAAATGAAATATTCATGTCGGTGTTTACCGAGTACGACTTATGATCCGAAAATATTTTACTATTAAAAAGAACAGTTCTATATAAAACATTGTTTAAATTGTAACTGCCTAGTTATTATTTTGGAAACAAGTTCAAAATGCTTAACACTTGAAGAGATTGATACTTGGTTTTAATAAATAAAACATTAATTAAATAATGTAAAAATACAAATTGTAGTTTTTTATGTAATGTAAAGTTATACTTAACCAGGAAAATGACAATATGCTTAATTTTCTTTTGCAGTATTCCCAAAGACGACTCCATCATGCTTATCAGCTGATCGCAGCGAATGATTCAACGTCGAATCTACTGAAAACTGCAATGGATTTGCAGCTTAATCAGGGAAAGATTGTGTGAACATGTTTACCGCTCCATGTACATGGTTCATGTACTACACCGGAAGCATGATCTTAGTTCACATGACAATTTTATTAGAAACCGGTAAGACCTGCATTAGCAAACGGGCAAATGCCGTATAATATCTGCCAAAGTGCTCTACAATGCAATTAAGAGCTAAAAAACAGGGTCAAATGGCAAGCATGGAAGATGTTTGATGCATCTTAATGTGCAATCTGTAAAATTATCCCTGTTAAATGTTGTAAACCAGAGGAAATATCTTTTATGATATTATTTATGCGTCATCTGGATTGTCTACCCATGTTTTACATTAGCGAATGACCTCAAATTACACGCTTGTGTTTGTTTTTATATCGGCACGTTCTGGCATGATTCCTCAAAGGCATTTTGAACATTTGCAACAGTTTGACGATAAAGTCTTTTAATATTGTGCTTCAACTAGTAAAGTGCGGGAGGAGTGATGGCGACGTCTACGGTTTGTTCAACACTGTGGAGTGCTAAGAATGCATTGTTCACTCATAGCTGAGGAAACTCTTTTTGTCTTTGTGGACATTATTTTACTCTATTATGCGAATTACATCTCATTATGCCCATCATGCCACAATTAACTGGGAAGGCAGACAAGTTTCTATGTGACTTGCTTGGTAAGCAGTTGCTCACTGGGAGAAGGACCTGGGGTGAGGGAATCAAAGATAATAAAATAATATTTTGTATTTGCAAACTTAAAGAGGCCCTTTGTGTGTGCAGTTTTTCATTGTTGACTTAGTAAATTTGATATTACACCATGCTAGATTGCAACCTAGAAACATGTTGACATGTTTTTTTGCACATGGTGCTTTTTGACCTCAAAAACCATTTCACAGAACCGCTTGGACTAGGATGATTGCTTCACTTCTTCTTTCTTTGAGAAATGAAACTAAATTCCAGACCAGACATGAAATCTGTAATTTACCTGGTCTGTCTGCCCGCATACGGATTTATTTATTTTACTTTCTTTTATTTGTTCATTTAATTTAACTTTTTTTGCAGAACAATATTGTTTACAATCATTTACAATGGATGGGATGACTAGTTGACTATAAATAATAAATGATAGTTGTTGTTTTTTTGTTGATAAATGTTCATAATACGCATCTTTTCTTGATTTAGATGTTAAATGTTCAACAATTAAGTCTAAGATCTCGAGTAATAGGGTAAATGGTAACCCTTTATTCGGTGCTCGGGCCCTCTTGGAATTGCTCTGTTTATTATCATTCTTCTCCGAAATGAATCGCATTTTTGAGGGCCTAAACACGCACGAAAACTTTGCACAAGCGTCAGAACTGGCGAAAATTTACATCTGATGTGCGTTTCAGAATTGGGCGGGGTGAATGACTCGATAGCGCCACCTATAAAGGTTCAACGGAGTCCGCCTCCCGCTATGTTTCGCGTACATGTGCGAAATTCGGTACACATGTATAATGGCCCAATACCTATTAAAAAGTCTCTTGGAGTGTATCCCTAAACGCACAAGGAAGTCAGCCATTTTGAACTTCCTCTCAGATTATTGTGCAGTTTTTGACATACTTTAACGAACTCCTCCTACAGTTTTAATTTTACATTTGTCTTTGTTTACAGGTCAATTATGCAAACTTAAATTAAACTAAGCCTAACGTAATCAGATTACTTTTTTCAAGTAACTAAAGTAACGTTACTTTTAAATTTACAACAAAATATCCGGGTTACATTTTCAAACCCAAGTCGCTTTGTTTCCCATGTATTGGCTGACATATCTCCTGTCCCCATGTTGAGAGAAATGTTGAGTAAGTGCAGAGGCGTTGTGTGTGTGAACATGATGGCTATTGTACTGTAGTTTTTAAACTAAATGTGAGCAGGCATTTAATTTTCACTTGTACGAGAACAGATTCAGGATTCCACACTATGAATAAAAATTTACGAATATTACGCAGACATACAATAATTACATATGTTAAATTAAATACACAAATATACTTACCCTAGGTTTCACAGACAAGTCCCAGACTAAAATGCATGTTTGAGCTGTTTTAACTGAAAGCTTAAAATATATCGGAGCCATTGTTCTGTCTCAATGTGCACACCAGTTTTTTTTTGTTTTGTTTTTTTTGTTTTTTGTTTTTTATTTTATTTTATTTATTTTTTTACTATGGCATGTTTATAAAAGTCCTAATTGAACTAAGATCTAATCCTGGCTTAATCTTAGCCCTGTCTGTGTAATCTCACTTTATTATCAATGTCTTTTTGCATGACTTATAAACATCACATTTGTGTTTCTTTAGTTTTTATTGCTGAAGTAAGAGTAAAACTTTCTTCTTCTGCAATTCAGAATGGCAGCACCACTGAAAGGTTTGTTTGAGCTGCGCCATCTACTGTACAGGTATATGTCCTTCAGCCTGAGGTGTATTTGTTTTGTAAGGATCTTTACATTTGCCAAAAATAGAACTTTTGTTTTTAGTTATTAAAACATAAAATGTTTTAGTTAAAAAGTATGGAAGCGTATTGCATTCACTTGAGGAAACAAAATCTACTCTGTTTTCCTGAAATAACAAGTTAATTATCTCAGAATTACGTGAGAATTTTGCATGGAAAAAAGTTTTTGCTCTATTTTTCTGAATTAATGAGTTAATTATCTCAGAATTACAAGATAGTTTTTCATGGAATTTTTTTTTTTTGCTCTGTTTTTCTGAATTAATGAGTTAATTATCTCAAAAACTCAGAAATTCAGAAAAACAGAGCAAAAACTTTTTTCCACGAAAAATGATATCGTAATTCTGAGACAATTAACTCATTAATTCAGAAAAACAGGGCAAATACTTTTCCCATGAAAAATTCTCTCATAATTCTGAGATAATTAACTCGTTATTTCAGAAAAACATAGATTTTGTTTCCTCAAGTGAATTCAATATGCTTCCGTACTTTTTAACTAAAAATTGTATGTTTTAATAACTAAAAACAAAAAATCTACACTGTTTACTGAAATAATGAGGTAATTCTGATAATATTTTGTTTCCTCAAGTGAATGCAATATGCTTCCGTAAAAAAGTAATTAAAACTTTTTAAAGTGTCCCCAACATTGATATTAGTTCTTAAATGTATAATTACACTTTAACAAGGGAAGTGCACCCTTAAATAATGCCCTCAGATTTTCCCCTACTTTTTTTTAAACTCGCCTCAAAAACCAAATAAATCAGAAGTGCTTGGTTTCTAGGATGATGGCTTCACTTCATCTTTCGATAAGAAATGAAACCCAGACAGGAAATCTGCCATTTATTTGGTACCTGCCCAGATGCTGATTTATTTTATATATATATATATATATATATATATATATATATATATTCATAACATGATCTATTTTACGTTTGCAATTGCAATGAAGCATTAAGCCGCTGAAAACAGGCTAAACAATGGCACCAAAATTAAATAAAAATGACTAGTTGACTATAAATAATAGATAGGTTTGGATTTATACATTAGAAAAAGCATCTTTTCTTGTCAAGAATTAAGTCCAAGATTGAGTATCAGAATAAATGAAGTATTTATCAATATCTTAAGACTGAAAAACATTTGACCAAATTATAGATGTGTTGTCTCCTTTGCTTCACACACCTGAGTAAAATTGCGTAACATTACGCAATAGACGCTGAAACAAGTCATTCACTGGAATGACTCATAAACAAGTCATTTAGCCTATACAATCTGACTTCACTTGAACTTTAAAAAACGATGAAACTTTCTCTCTTCAAACTACAGTTCTTCGCCTCATGATGATAAGATGAAATGCAAATTTCCCGTAGCCTAATTGCCCTTTAAGAAAACCTCGTAATGTTATATTTGCTTTTTTCACAATTGAAAGCAGTCAGTGTTGTCTGACCACGCCCTCGGAGACTATCTGTGACTCCCGTCCCGCTCTCCTCCCTAAAACTCTCGAGATCAAACTTCAGCAGATACTTCACCGAGAGAGTCGCGCAGTCTTGGAGTCACGCCGGATTCGAGCCATACTTCGGACTAACGTTACTAATGGAGAGTGAGCTGAGAACCTGACGAGTCTGTCTAGGTAAGAGAGCTTTTATCTATCACTGCACATTATTGTAGCTACGAGTTTCATACATTTAGTTATGCTTTTAAGGGTATAACGTTAATAGCCTACTCCTGAAACTTGTTTTCACGTGAAATTTTGATTGATTTGATTTGTTTTGTTAGTGTCCTGAGGTGGAACATGTATGTAAAACTATTTGATTAAAATTGTGCTAAAATAAGGGACTTGTTTGGACTATTAAAAAAAAGTATAACAATTCAGTAAAAAGGTATGAACTTAAATGTTATTAAACCCTTCGTAAGTTTATAGTTTATTTAACAATTTAATACAGATACTTTTATGGTAAGATGTAATTTTATTTATTTTACAATGACTTTTTTGTGGAAATGAATGGAAGCTTATTTATACCACGGAATACAAAAGGTAGCAGGTCTACCTTCCAATTCAGACTTTTTCCCTTGCACTTATAAAGAAGAAGAAAAAAAAAGAAAAAACAGTATAGCAAGATATTTAAACTCAGAATGTGAGATAAGTACAAGCAATTCAAGAAAATTCAGATTTGTGAGATGTAAACTTGAAACTTTGAGGGGGAAAAGTTGAATTGTGAGAGAAAGTAAAAAAACAAAAACAAAAACATTGTTTTATTTCATGGCGGAACCAAGCTTCCATAGAAAGGGCCACCATAATCACATTTATTTAGATTTTATTGAAAAAGTTAGTCTATCGGTTATCAGTCATGTACATTTGAGTATTTGTTGCATTTTATGTTGTTAAGTATTGCATTTGTCTGTATTGTCTGTTACCCTGATGGCATTTATTTGTCATTAAATCATAGGTTTTCCTATAAATGAGTCATGAAAAACAAACTGAACCATTATAGTTCAGACAGTACACTTATATTGTTGTTTTTCTTTCCAGTCATAGTGTTTTTTGTCTAAAGATGGCAAAAAATAACACTTGCAACTATGATAAGCCCATGGGCTTTTTCTACAACAACAGCAACATAACCTCAGATGAATGGGAACAAACGCAGCTCATCCTGGTTCAGTGTGCTGGATCCATCTGCTGTTGCTTCATCCTAGTGGCCAACGCCATGATCATTGCAGCGGTGGTGACAAACAGGAGGTTTCACTACCCCTTCTACTATCTCCTCGCCAATCTCGCCGCCTCAGACTTTCTCGCCGCGATCGCCTACGTGTACCTCATGTTCAATACAGGCAAAATATCTCGGGATCTAACCGTTCAAGGCTACTTCTTTCGACAGGGTTTGCTGGATGCGAGTCTCTCCGCATCCCTGACCAACCTCCTGGTGATCGCTCTCGAACGTTACATCTCCATCATGAACTGGAAGGTCCACAGTAACCTCACCAAACGTCGAGTGACCCTGTTGATCGCCTTTGTGTGGGGTGTATCGATATTCATGGGGGCCGTACCTAGTTTGGGCTGGAACTGCATCTGTAGTCTTGACCTGTGCTCCAAACTGGCTCCCATCTTTAGCCGGAGCTACCTGATCTTCTGGTCCATGTCCAACCTGGTGCTCTTCCTCATTATGGTGTGCATATATTTGAGGATATACATCTATGTGATGAAAAAGACTGCCGTCTTGAAGGCGCACACTGCAGGATCTTTAAATCGGAAGAGGACGCCAGTCAAACTCATCAAAACTGTGATGACCGTACTAGGTAAGTTCTAGAGATGTTCCTTTAGATTTGGTCTTCCGAAAGGGATAGTGGGCTACATCCAAAAATGAAAATTCGCACTTTATTTTAAGTTGTCCTTGTTTGCAGTTTAATTATACATTTAAGGTCTGAGTAATAGTAATTAACTACATGCACTTATGATAGGGTTAGAATTAGGGTTTGGTTTAGGGTTAGTTGGATGTACTGTAATTATGCATACTTTACTGTTATCACTACAGTTAGTGCATGTAACATATGTAACAAGGACACTGTAAAATGAAGTGTTACCAAAAACTCATGTCATACCAAACTTGTATGATTTTCTTTCTTCTGTGTAACACAAAATAATTGCTTTTGATTTCTTTACTTTATTCTTTCACCGTTAAAACATTCATCAAAATATCTTCTTTTGGATCTTTCTTTATACCAGTTTGTATTAATGCACTGAAATTCCATCAAACGTAGATATTTTGTGATTTTTGGCCTTAATAGTTTTTGATGGCTCATTTTGTGCACACAACATGGATTAGCTGCTGCAGGTAAATGTCATCAATGATGACACAATTTATCAAGACCAAAAGTAGCAATATTTAAACTATATTTAGCTGAAATATCGAGAGGCGACTCGTTGCCAAAGACCTGTAATATGAAGTATTTTTATACACCCTGAGTAGCATAAAGAGTTGAATTACCCATCCCAAACTTCAATTTTAGTTTTGGTTTGTACTTTGTAGCTAAATGAAAAATTCTGTGGACAACTGATATGGTAAGTACTAGAGAGAGATGTGACTTTAGATTGTTTTTTGATAAAGGGATCGTTCAACTGTCATACCAAACCTGTATGACTGACTGACTTCTGTAAAACACAAAATCATTTATTTTGAAACTTAGTGGTGTCCAATTTGTGGTTTTGGACCCAATTGACTTTCATTTTATAGTCAAAACAGTTGAAACATTTATTCTTTCCATTTAGGGCTGTCAAACGATTAATCGCGATTAATCGAATCCAAAATAAAAGTTTGTGTTTATTTGTGTAATTATATTATATAAAATATAATAATTTTTATATATATAAATACACACACGTACGCTTGTATATATTTAAGAAATATTTTCATGTATATAGATTTATATATAAGTTGTATATAAATATAAATATCTTTTTAAAATTGCTTATACAGACTTATGATTAGTATTTTAATGATGTGTACTGTAATGATTATTTTTGTATTCCTTTTGTACTTGTATTTTACTTGTTTTTATTGTTTGTAGCGCTTTGGGTTTTAGAAAAGCGCATTATAAATAAAATGTATTATTATTATTAAATATTTTATATATGAATGATTTTTTTCTTAAATATACATGTGTGTATACTTATATATAAACAAAATAATTATACACAGTGCACCCACATATATTATGTAAACACAAACTTTATTTTGGATGCGATTAATCGCGATTAATCGACATGATGTTGAGGAAATGATAACTGAATTATTCATGGGAGATATATCCATTAGTATAGCAATACTACATTAATACAAGCAGCCTGACAAAATGGGAAGTGGAGTCATTGCAGCGTGTTGATGCACCACATGCATTCCAGGCTGTGATGTATGTATTCGCCAGAATGCACCATCACTCCTCAGTCACTCAAAGTTCAATGGCAATTAGAGTATATGTTGGTTTATAGTTTCCCCACAAGCATTCATAGCTCTGATGAGCTGTCCAAAGTCCACGCCTTTGGTCTGTAAGTGTGATAAACGCTCCCAGACTGCTGAATATGTTAATTTAGCTCACAACATAGGCCTGTGGGGTCTGAAACATTTCTTAAGAAACCCGTAACCCACCCAACGTTGGGTGATGTGGGACTGGGTGGGTAAATATTTTTGTGATGTTTTTTCTTTTCTTTTTACAGCCATAGCAAATATTTAGATTGGAAGGATGTGCTCATATCTTGTTAACCACAGGCAGACATCAAGTATATATACATTATACATCTTGCTTCTAAGAATTTGAGAACTTGATGAGATGTACACGATAAACTGAAGAGTTAACGTGCAATGAGACGCAGGTGTTAAATGAGACTCGGAACACGAAACCTCCCACCCTTGCGTTAGCTGATTGCTATCAGAAGTTCAAAGGTTGGGTTTCTTTAGCCTCTTGTATTTCTTTCTTTCATTATGAGTCTCATGTTCAAACAATCAACCAGACGTTTTGTCTGTGGGCAGGCCAATGATAAATAAGAGGGCACTTGATACATTTTTTAGCAATCTAATATCAAGTTTTTAGAAATGTGCTTGTTCATGTAAAAACAAATTACATATTTTCCTACACCCGGAATATATGAGAATGGATGAGAACATGTACACATCTTAATTCTTTTTTAGAATTTAGAAGTAAATGCCTGTTCACACCGACGTTTAACGCCTCATGACTAAACAATGGGCGCCAATGTGAGTGTTCACACCGACGCGAAAAACGGCACACGTAAAAGCGTCATTTTTAAAAAAAAAACGCCTCGGGTTCGTTTTTTTGGTTTGACGCGCCGCATCAAAACCTATCCGACCAACGAGATTGGCGGGTTTGCTCACATGTCTGGTACTTCTGAAGTTACAGTTAAGACAAACTGCTGCTGTACAGTATAGCATAGTATATGAATTACCTATAGCAGATCTATACAGGTGGGCCTGGGGAAGGTGGGGGGTTTCTGAAAGCGCGCTGAACTGCTAAGGCTACGTCCACATTAATCCGGATACATTTGAAAACGGCGTTTTTGTTTAAAAACGCTCTCCGTCCACACTAGCGTTTTCAGGCGTTTTCCGACGTTTCAGTGTGGATGAGAAACTTCTAAATTCACCTTACTGAGCATGCGTGAAAACTCACCTAGACGAAACAGATGGAAAAATAAATAATAAAGTTCTCGCGCAATTCTTCTAACAGGATAATTTTATTTAGCAAAATACCTCACCATCACTGATGGTCGCACTCAGTCACCATATGTTTGGTCTAAAACTCAACTGCTATCCTGTAGCTATTGCCGCAGGACAGCAAATGTGACTACATTATCTGTCATCTTTGCAGTACTGTGCTATGAAGAATGTGCAAATTGACACATTTTAGCAACAGCGTAAAAGTGAATAGCACATAACAGGCACTATACCTGTAAACATGAATATCTATTGGTACTACATGGATCACATGACTGAATTTACATCATCGTTTTCAAATACCTCCGGCTTCACAGTCCACACTAAAACGCGAAAACTGTGTTTTCAAATTTATCAGCTTTGGAGAGCGTTTTCCAAAAGTTACATTTTCATTGACTTAAAACGACGTCTCCGTGTGGACGGAAGGCCACAACGAAGAGAAAAATATACGTTTTCAAACGAAAACGTATTAGTGTGGACATGTCCTAAGGCCGTGTGTCCACCAAAGCGTTTTTCCACGCGCCTGCCATTTGTTTTCAATTGTTTTCAATGGGAGCGCCGCGTTTTTTAAACGCCATGAGCGTACAGAGGCGCTGAGCATTTTTTTTTCACACTGAAGCGCCGAGCGCCCAGCGTTCCTTACTGAAAATGTTCAACTTTGGATAAAACGCAGCGCTCATCACTGTCACTTTTTACCCAGCCGTCCAATCACAGTGGAGGAGGGGCGGGACTAATACCACACCGACCAACTGTCACAACATTCAAACTGCTGCGGATATTCTGTATCATAGCAACGAAACGTCTAAACGGAAAAAACGCTGCGCTGCCAAAACGTTCTCAAGCGCCCAAAGCACGGCGTCTTCAGCAGAGCGTCTGGCGTTTTCAGCTGGCTAAAAACGCTTTGGTGGACACAGTCACACAGCCTAAGGCAAATACTAACCGAGTGTTTGAAGGTTGAGCAGTGAGCTCATTCGCTACTGATACAGCAGGAACCAATCAGGTGTGCCCTGTAGATAATGATGTGTTTACAAGCAGATTGAGTTACGGACCTTTCAGCCTGTGACATCTAGAGTTTCATGACACAACCTTAGATATTTTAGTCTAATATTATATAAATGTTTTTTTTGGAGTTGCACTACATGACATTTTACAACCCGAACGAACCTTGACTTTGAAAGTCAAACATGTATATATAAAAGGTTGTACCAAACTTATTTTTTTTCATAAACTTTTTATTTCTTTTAATACATCATTTACTTTGCCCCTTTTTACTTTTTACATAAAGCTGGTTTTAGGAGTATCTCTTACTACTGCAAATTGCAGATAGGGCCAAAGTGGAGGAGCCGTCTCTTCCCAGCACAACAGACTTCCTCAGGCCTGTATAATTATCTTGCACAAGGTCGCTCTTTACACTGCCTGGCATCTGAATCGAACCACCAGCGCGAGTGGCCTGTGGCCTTGAAGAGAAACAACATGAACCTCATAGTAGATGCGTGTCTCTCTTTCAAACCAATTGCTCACATGTGTGAAACCCCGTTTTTGGTCTGACGAGTTTGCTTTGAAGGTTTACAAAATGTGTCTGGGAGACTTTGGATAATGCCGATATGTGAAGATTCACAGTCCGTTACTCATCAGTTATTTTCTTGAACGAACTGCTAATAAAAGCAGACGCCTGCGTTTCAGAAGCACGCTACATTCTTGCTTTTGTTGTTTTGTGGCATGTTTGGAGGTAAAGGTTACATTAATCTGTTGCACGACTCTTCTTTTGAAAAGGGAGAAAATTCTTTGTTTAAAAAGAAAAAAAGCACACTTTCGTCCTGTAAATATTAACTTCCTCACAGCTATATTTGCTTACATTCTGTGCAAATGTTGACAGTTTGAGATGTTTTGTTCTTCAGCTTGTATCGAGATAATAATTGCAAGCATTACAGGATAATTTCTTGAAAATGCCTGTGCACACTGAACGTGAAACTGCTGGGTGACGTGACACTATCACACCCGATCAGAAAATATTTGATTTTACTTCGACTTGATGCACACTTTTTGAGTTCCTGCTACTTCTTTTGAATAAATGCATATTTTGCGAGTATTACAAAAGAATGTTCTATATGTGTGTAGAATGAATAGTCAGTAATACAATCATCATATTGTCATCAGCATCAGTTGCATTGTTCACAAACCCTCTCCTGTGGCCTCATGGGATAGTAAAGTGTCCGACGTGGGCACTTCAGAATCTCGCCAGAAGTAGTAGGTCATGTTTTGTGAATACTGTGAATTCTCACATACGACTCGCATGCTAGGGGAATATGGCATTAGATGCCAAAGTTGTTTATGCCTGTATGGTGTTTCAGCCGTGCTGCCATTATAGGGGTTTTCACCCACATTTAAAGTCTTCTTTTAAAATAGTTGTGGCCCCTTTGAGATTCTGTGGCCCTGTGGTACCCGGCCCTTTCAGCACTGCTGTTCATTATGCTTAGAAAACACGCTGTGTAATAAATTCATGCATGCAAAGAGCGCTTATACCACTGTGCACATCTGCAACAAACATGGCGTGCCGTTCTCCTCCAGACGCTGTTTGATATGATTAAAGAGAAAGAGTGTTCCCTTGAATGGGGAACTTACTAGAACCCACAGAGGAGCCCCCATTTGATGAGGTTTTGTCATAACCTCCGTATGTCCTTCTCTAGTAAGCGCTTCTGGAGCCAAATAAGCACATTTATCACACTTTTAACCTTACAAAAACTTTTAATCAGTGTGTATTTCATGTTTCAAGGAAGTTTAGATATTTATTTTTATATTTAAAAATATTTAATATTTAAAAATATTTAAAAAGTTACAAAGTTATAAAGTTAAAAAGTTTAATATTTAAAAAGTTACTTCGCTAAAGAAATGAATGAACAAAATAGTAAAGAATTATATATTTATATTGATTATTTCTTGTTTGAAGCAAACATCTTTATGCAGAAACGTTTATTCAAGAGTCTTGGAGATGTTGCCGCAGTTCTTCTGCATTTAGTCCATCTCAGTTTTTTTCTGTTTCTTCATGTAATCTCAGACAGACTGGATGATGGTGACATCATTATCATTCCAGCGGTTGTCAGACTCAAATACAAACATACAAATAATATCACTGGATTATTACAAGTAATGGGAAAATGAATGAATATGTCCGATGACACACTACAGCAAGAGAATGAAGAGATATACTGTAAATAACTGGCTTAACCATTTTATTTAGGGTGGAAATACTAACGTGCCCAAGACTTTTGGACAGTACTGTGTGTGTGTACATGGATCACAAAACGTACCAAATGTAAGGATGGGTATTCAATATTAGCTAATCAATAGCTACTATTTTTTTTTTATACATACCAGAGGACTACTGATAACTACCATATTCAGGTTCATAATTAACTTGAATAATGCATAATATATCATTAATTATAAAGTGAAGGTACTGGTAACCCACACTAGTAATGACTTGAGCGTCATTGTGAGGTTTGGTATTTTATTTATTTTTTTGTAAGGTTTTGGGTTGTAATTCCTTCCATTGGATTTGGTAACACTCGAGTCATTACTAATGTGTTAACATGATCCTCACATTAGAATACTGATCCAAATAATTAATAATTCCTTCTGAAGGATTTGTCATTAGTTTGGACTAGTCATTACTAGTGGGTTACCATGATCTTTACTTTAGAACTAATTGTACATTATCCACATTAATTATGACCCTGTATAGTAATTATTATTAGTAGTCCTCTGGGAGGTATGAAAAAATAGTTTTTGATCAACTATAATAGTGAAAAACCACATTCAACTGAGCGCTATCACTTACTATCCATTAATGATGGAACAGTATTCGAAAGTGTTACCAACAATCTTTATATGAAGCGTAACATTAGTTTGGTCAATTACTCAGTTTGTGGCTGCAAAATATTTTCATGATTTTAATCACAACATTTTTCTTGCGTCAAATCAACTTAGATAATTTATGTAGTTCAGATAACATAATATTTTGAGTTTCTGATGATTACATCAATCTCCTTCATTGTATTAACTCAATTTTTCCATTTCAATGAACTTAAAATTTTAAGGAACTTTTAAATTTTAAATATATATATATATTTTTTTACAGTGTACCAATAATGTTTGCAAAACAGAACTTATATATATTAAGACAACTACTTTTCTGTAAAACCAGAGATTGGTTTTCAGGAGAAGCTCTGCCATTTGCAAACAACCATCTCCTTTGTTCATTATAGTCACACGAGTGTTTTCGACCTTGAAAGACATGCCGCTACATGCTCTCCACCTGAGATCCGTCCTGTTTGTCTAATCTTGTTTTGTGGTGCAGGCAGGACTTGATGGTGCTTGAAAGAATTAAGTGGAACTGCGACTAAAGGCTGGTTTGTTGCTGTGAGTCACCATATCGAAGCTCAGAAAAGAGTTTTTTGAACATGTTGGGGCAGAGAAACGCATTCTCTAAATTAAAACACACTATGAAAAAAATCACTGCGGTGTCTACAGCAGTGCAAGATAACAATTTGTGTTAAAGGTTTAACTTAGGGGTGCAGCAAAGCCATACTTTTTATGAGAAATTGTGGAACCTGCTTGCACTAGAAACCAATGACAACTTTCTCTGTTTTCATTTCCTAAAAATGATTCACAACACAAGGCTAGTTAATTAACCTATAAAACTGTCAACACGTATATGTATTTGTAGATTTTTTTGGGGTTTTCTTTTTCGTAGGTTTTTACACTCGAAAAAGAAAAGAGGTAAATGATCTTGCACACTTGTTTTTTGCAAGTCTTTTTTTCCAGCAAGTGTTTTTTTAATTTTCAGGATTATGCATATATTTTTGTATACTTTTTAAAGGTATGCATATTTACACATTTTGTGCCTAATTGTTTGTGTGATATACACAATTATACATGTAAATTGGAAGATATGTGATGCGATCTAGGGAAACCTGTCGGATGTCACGCTGGTACGTTTCAAGGTCTAAAAACAGATCGAATGTCAGTCTTTTTTGTCAAAATTGGGTTTTCAGTGAATTATTATTCTATAACATCTGGCTTATCATCTCTGAAAATATCTTGGGAAAATTCACTAGTTTAGTGCAGAAAAATAGATTTATACTGGCAGGCTGAAATTGTCTTTCTCTTTAAGAACATGCATGGCGTAGCAGAGAGGCAAAAAACAACAAAATCGCCCATTTAGCTGTCATCTTAACACTACAAAGACAGTTCACCTATCAAAATAAACCACATAACAGAATAAAGGTCCCGCCAGTTCTGTGTAAACTACAACGGCACGCAAGTTTTTATTTATTTGTTTTTTATTTTAATATTTTATTTGTTGAATTTTGAGTTTGTATAAGCTTTCGAATGATACCTAATCTATGATTATTACTAAAATATGTGATACGAAAAAAAGGAGCGCCAGTCGTCCCGCTAGCAGGACGTGACCGTTAATTAAACCTGTTTTTTCTCAAAATTCCGTTTCTGAAACGGACTTCAGGACTTTGTTACAGACAAACGATAAAAGAAATAAAAACAGATTTGGAAAGGACTAGAACCCAGCTTTAATATGATCTCAAAACCTGTAATATGTCACATTTGACCATGTGGTGGGTTTTCCCAGATCGCATCACATATATCTAGATCAGTCATGAAACCCTAGTTCAGGCTGATCTCCTCAACACCACCAATGTGCAGCATCCACTTGGTATGTCTATTTATGCAGCAGCAGCATATCTTACATGCTTACTCACAGCAGTGTGTCGGTGTATCTATTAGCAGTAGCAAGTCCATCCTTAGTGCTATATATATATATATATATATATATATATATAGCTATATATTAGGGCTGAAACGATTCGTCGACATTGTCGACAACGTCGACAATAAAAAATTGTCGACAAATATCTTTGTTCTTGAGTACTCGTTTGATCTCACGTGACCTAATGTAAGGCCGTGCGATATCGCGATTTGACCGCCTACGGCACTGTGGCGCTAGAGTGTAATGCAGCCCTTGCTGTTGCGGTAAAAGAAAAAACAGCGCGAATAGTTGACGGGAAAACAACTATTTCAAAAGCTGAACTGATTTTCATTTTTAATATATTAGAGTAAGAATACAGTATGTTAACTCAATGTTTTAACTAATTGAAAAAGATGAATAACCGTTCCAGACTTACTGATAAGCCGGCAAAATAATCGACGATTAGTCGACTAATCGTTCTAATAATCGTTAGATTAAGCGATTATCAAAATAATCGTTTGTTGCAGCCCTATATGCTGTTTATATATGCATTTTACATTGTAAATGTACAGTATACGTGTTAAAAATCTTTTTAAAAATTGTGTCTTTTTTAGGGGCCTTTGTGATCTGTTGGACCCCTGGACTTGTGGTTCTGCTCATGGATGGCCTCGATTGCGATCGATGCGATGTCCTGAAGTTCAAACGCTGGCTGCTGCTCCTCGCCGTCCTCAACTCCGTCTTAAACCCGATCATCTACTCCTACAGAGATGAGGAAATGTGGACCACCATCAAGAACCTGATGCGCTGCGTTCGCGTCGGGACGAGGCGACAGAGGTCGTCCAAAGCCAACATTGAACGGGGCTCCGGTCGGGAGACAACCAGCAGCCTGAAAGAGAATACAGGAGAGGACAGCAAGGTGTCCACACAGGAGATGCTGAAGTCTTGAAGGTGAAATCTCGTTTTTAACTCCACGAAAACCATTCCTAGCAAGATGGCTTGCCATTGCTCTGAAATACTTCCGCAGACTGCGGTCAGAGATGAAAAATTAGACCAGAACTCAAAGAGAGAATTTAATGATGACAGTACAAAGCAATGCACTTGTGCAACTTATATTGTTAGTCACCCACATGAAACATGTCTGAGGATGTGTACTACACCCACCAGGCCACATCTTCAATAGCAATGCTCATTAAGTCAGCATTTACAACGGTTTTTCAGAATCAGAAGCGGCTTTCATTAGTGCTCTGTACCAGTGTAAAATCTGTGTGAACTTGTTGATTACTTCCTAAGTGTACTGTATCTTTTAAACAGACTCTTGACTTTTTTTATAAATCTTAAAATGATGTATAGATGTTGTAGATATTAATGTAAGCATTTGAGTGATTTCATATGCATTTCACAGTCATCATATGTAAGAATAGTGATTATTTAAAGGTCTGTACTGTATATTGCCGATTACTATCATGATTATGTGGTCCTGCATGATTAAGTGGGCAATTATGCCAATGTAAATACATAGCGGTACTGCTAATTTGTATCTGTGGTTTCATGTGAAAAAGATAAATGTCTTTTATAACAAATGTTAAAAGTAAAGTCGTGGTTCTATTGGAGTTGTTAAAGTGCTCATGAGAGTATTAAAGAGTCGTTTTTTAATGGAAACTCACCAAAGACTCACTTTTAGTGGGAGAAAGGAAGTTTTTAGTTCTCTAAAAGTATGGAAAACATTAATAATGGTGTCATACAGTATTTACTGCAGTTATGTAGATGAATCTAAATGTAATTTAGATAAAGTTGAAATATTAGATAACTTATTTTTTATAAATTAAATATAATAATAATATAATTTTATATACTAAATTAAATAAGTATTAACTCTGAAATAAAAATAAATATCAAAATGAACAACATTAAATTTAATCAAAATTACTAACATGTAAAATACATTTGAAAATGAAAACTTAAAATAATAAAATATCCCCTATTTATTCTGAAGTGGAAACTAGCTTCCAAAATATGAACAATTTATTAAAATATTAAATGGTTAACAATCTTGGGTTCTTATTGAAGGTTTCATCTTAACCACTCCCAATATGTGTTAAGATGATGGGCTGAAATACAAACTGCTGGGTCAGGGGTACAGAATAAACCGGTTTCCTTTCTTCCCTTTCCTAACTTGCGCAATTCTGATGCAATGAGCTGCTGCACATCGTCTCACCTGAGCTCCTCAGTCAAGATCCTGGAGTTGCGCCACAGGCTAATTACAACATGATGAAACCACCGTGCTTCAGTTTGTGAATCCTGGGAAACAAGCTTTTCCTGTTGACGCTTGGACAAAAACGTTCTCGATGACCACCCGCAGGTTCTTTTGAGAGTGTCACGTATTCAAGCCCGAACATGATGGTTTATTCCGGTGTGGGCACTGATTCCAGAAAGATAAACTACACTGGAATCATGTCACTTCACTGCTGTAAACAGGAAAGTACCCATCGTCTAACATAGTGGCTTTTGTTTTAGTGGCTCGTAACACTCAGGCTGCATCCAAAAGTATACTTTCCCTACTTATGTGACAAATTAAGTATGTCTGAATTCACAGTGCTCATAAAAAAGTATGCAAAAAGTACCCGGATGACCTACAGTACTTTGTCCGGCGAGATTCTGAAGTGTATGCGCATACGATGGATACTTCACTATCCCATAAGTCCATTGGAGGGAGAGGAGTTGTGAATGGCAGTGAAGCGACACAACTGATGCTGGTAGGTCATGGTGAATGCAATACATCCTTACACAATCATACTATTTAGAACATACTTTTACCGCGGTCGTTAGGTAGACTTATTCAAAATAAGTACTTTTAGCGCTTTTAACAATATGGACACGAAGCAGTTTCAAAGCAGCTTTACAGAGAAGTGGTCAATACTGCCGACTCATCTGAGAGACATTTGTTGACTCGAGCAGGCAGAGTAAGCCAACCCAATCAGCGTTGTCAGGACTAAGTCAGTACTTGGCTAAAAAACTAAACTAAAATCAAGAATGGAAATTATAACTAGGTGTCCCTCGTTAATTAAACCAACTTTGTTTGCTCATACCTCACTTATACTTTATTTATCTACTATTGATGTTAACGTCACTGTGGCGACCCCTGTTAAAGGAATTGGGTAACACAAATAAAACCAGTCTAGTGTCTACACTCACATGAGGTGCATGTGTATTTCTCGACATTCTACAATTATAAACATCGTATTTTGCCTGTTAATGCCTGCAGTGCAGAAAATTATATGACAACTGTAAGGTCTAAACGTAACTTGCCCCAGCTTGGCCCCTCCAGTTGAAATGGTCTCGAACCACCACTGTTCATCTGGGAAGTGGGAACGCAACGCAGTGCTTGCCATTTCACAAGATTTGTAACGTAACTCATTAATAAATATAGCCTTTGCCAACACAGGAGAATACATAAATATTCTTCTATATGCAAATTGTTGTTCATCGCGATTTCAAAATAAAAGTTTAACCCCTCGCTCTGAATTTGCATGTGCACATGTTCTTGTTCAAGAAATTACAGCGGCTGTTGCATTTTATCGTACAGAATTGACCAATATTAAAGATTAAGTGGACATTTGAATTAAAGGTTGTTTGGCCAATATTATACAAGGATTTGATCATTTCGTAATGTAACAACAAGTAACACCACGCCAATTATTGTTGCTTATTATTTGTATTTTAAGTCACTTTACAGGCTGTTGTTCACATTGTTTTTCACAATTTTGTATCCGATTACTCGATTAATCGATTAAATAATCGACAGAATACTCCATTACTAAAATAATCGATAGTTGCAGCCTATCCCACATATATAGTAAATGGTATCAGTATATGGTTTCTGCATGTGTGCTGACACATAACCTAAACTACAAGTGGAGGCTGAAGGTGAGTTGGATCTCCTTGGGAGAGTGTTTGTGATTAGCGTGAGCTCTCCAACTGATAGAATAATTAGGGGGCTATTGAGGCCACAAGAAAAGAAAGAAAAAATAGACAAGAGGCAGCCCCTTCTTACCAAGTCAGTCTACACGGTGCATCCAAACAGACAAGCAAGACAATATGGGTCTGCGGGAAACCTGCGCTGTCCTTTTCCTTTTGGTAAGTGTTGAATTATTTGATCACTTTGATAGGTCTGAAACCGGTGATGGTGTTTTGGTGTTTAAGATACCATGTTTTATGTGATAGATGTAATCATTGAATGGACTGGATCAGACAGTATCACGCTTGGCTTTTGTGGCCGTGTCAGAAACACTTGTGGCCAGAATTAGGCGGAAAAAGGACAAACCTGTGATTTCACCAAAAACGGAAATGAGTTAGAGTTATATTTTGCACATCATGGTGATATATATATATATATTTTTTTTTACATACCATGGTAATAGTCAGAGCTACTGGGAACCACAACAAATTCCTTGTGTGTTTATGCACATTTGGTGAATATTGAGTGTTTATGCACATTTGTTGAATACTGAGTTGCCATATTTTATCAGATAAAAACACAAATAATTATGAAATGTTTCAGATTCTGACTGTTGATGGATGGCATGACCTGGACAACACTGAATATGACTGCTGGCCCATAGTTGAACCAAATGATTACAACATGATTAGCTGTGGCGGTAAGTGCGTCTTTTTAAGATAATGAGTGTAATTAGCTACACTCTTTCATTGTTGATGATAATTCCTTAAAGACACAGTTCACCCAAAAATTAAATTTTTGTCTTCATCCTAACATCGATATAAACCAGTATGACTTGTGTACTACCGAAAAATATGGTCAAATTCATGAACAAATAGTTCTTTTGATTCAGATCTTTTCAGTGAATCATTGATCAAGTTCACTAAAAAAACAGTAAATGATTCGTTCATGAACCTTTTTGATGAACTGTCCCTTTAAGAATTGCAGACGAGACCTTAAATTTACAAACCAACAACTTAAAGGAAGTTTCTAATCAGGAGGCCAACAAAATAAGTGCCGTTCATTTGAAAATTGATTCAACAGTGCGTCTATACCGTATACCATGCAAGAAGATAAACATTTGCTTTGCTAGATCTCTTGGATATTTCAGAGGGTTTAGCTTCCTTTAACACTTTACACCCACATGTTTTCACAGGCTTAGAAATGGCTTGGGTTCACCGTCCACCAGAAAAGGTCACAGATGGGGAGGAGTTCAACGTTACCTATTCTGTCACTGCCACAGATTCCTTTTATGAATATGCCGTTCAAAACAAGATTTTCCAGTTCAGGTTAGCGCGACTCACAATGCCGGCCATCTCAAATGTGCTTTATTATGTTTAGAAACCACTATTTACTCCATTGAACTTTTTGTTGTCGCATTGAACATTGAGTTTTCCTTGAATGCAATATTATGTTAACAACGAATTTAGGAATGTTGGCTTATGTTACACTATACGCTCCACTTTCTCCCACAGTAATGCCTCCGAGGCCAAAAGATTCTGCCTTGAGCACGAATGTCCCACAAACTGGAACAACGCCAATGAAGACAACTGCTGCGTGTACCATGCCAACATTCACTCCTGTCCTCTTACGCTCATGGTCTGTATCGTTATGGTCGATGTAAAACCTACACTGGGGCGAGTGATTTCATCACACTGACGCTGAAATGTTTGAAATAAAAAGTCGACTAAACATGGCACATTTTGGCATGATATCAGAGGCCACAAAATGATAATATTGCAGAATGTAGACCAATTGACCTTATGCACAGCTGCACTACTTCCTGAACTTCAGCCAGCTCCTTTTTTCCTGTCTGCCATTATTGGCCAAACTTGATTAATTCAGGTGTGACTGACCTCAGTAGTCACAGCAACAATAAGACACACCTGAATTAATCAAATTTGTCCAATAATGGCAGACAGGAAACAAGGAGCTGGCTGAAGTTCAGGAAGTAGTGCAGCTGTGCATAAAGCCAATTGCAATAAATGCCCTGTGGCGGTTGCATACAATATATGAGCGTGTGTTTGTGTTTCAAACCTAGGTTTGGGAAACAATTTGCTGAAACTTTGCAAGCCAAATCTGATCAAACTTTTCACGGCTATCATATTGTTTTTAAAAAGTGATTAAAAGCGATTTAATTGAATTAATTAATAATTAAATGAAAAAAATGAGAATATATATATATATGTAATTTTTTTTTATGAGCTTTTCAAAAGTTTGGGGTTGGTAAGATTTATGTTTTTGAAAAAAGTATATTTTTGCTCACTAAGACATTTGATCAAAATCACAGCAAAAAACAGTAATATTGTCAAATATTATTAGAATTTTAATACCAGTTTTGTATTTTAATATAGTTTAAAATGTAATTTAGTCCTGTGTATCAAAGCTGAATTTTCAGCATTATCATTAGTCACATGATCCTTCATTCTAATATGATGATTCTACGCTATCTCACGACCAATTCGTACGAAATCATTGTATGAATTAGCCACAATGATTAAAAAGTGGCTAATTCATACCAATTCGTACGACCTCACTCATATGAATTCGTACGATTTGTCTAAACCCACGTGATGGGTAGGTTTA